ATAATAATAATAATAATAATAATCCTAACTACACCATTCTCCCCCGGTTTGGAAGGCTTCGCCCTCGAAGCCGATGCGCACCCGTGCCCGGCGTATGGTGTCGAACCTATGGTAGTAACTCCCGTCGTTTCCCTCGGTCGAACACAAAGGTTGAATGCCCCACTCCCATGGTATCACCCCCTTGAAAGTCATGGAAAGACATATATGCAGCAGCCACACACATAATTTGAAGTCACCGTGGGAACCAAAACGCAACATCTGTTTGCAAGATCGCAACAAATTCACGTAGGAGAAAAGCTCGGGCCTGCGCAATAGAATAACTACCAATCGAACACAAAATTCTTCCAACAGATGAATTTTGATGCCCGAAACATGATTGAATTCCTCCGGGCCCGAAGGCTCCTTATCGAAAATCGGTGGACCGTCGTAGAGACTGTCCACTTCACCGGTAAAACACTCCTTTACCTCCTCGGGTTCTTCATCAAACACCGGTGGACCATCGTACAATGGCCCGTCAACTTGCTCTTCGTCGAATTCTGGGATGTCAACGCGAAACGGGCCCTCCCATTGACCATATTGCGATTAAGTCCCCAATCGTGTCGGGCACGGTATCCGCCAACGAAGGTTGTCTCCTCGCGCCAGCCCCTATCGTTGTGTTGATCGTCGTCGTCCACGAAGACCGGGCCCCGTCGCCACATGTCACGGCCGCCGTATGCAGCGAAGGGGTCAACCTCGACGTGCGGAGGTTGCCATCCGCCGAAGGGATTCACCTCCGAGATGTTATTCTCGCCGTTTTCATCGCCGGACGGTGGTTGTGGAGATCTCCGATGGGGCGCCCCGCCTAGACCACGGCCTCCACGTCCTCCGTGAACTCCCTCGCGAATGCCCCAGTCGCCGGCATCACGGTTCGTCTGCAAATCCTCAACGATGTTGTTGATCGTAAGACGCACTTCTTCGATCCCCGTCGAAAGATCCTCAACCCGACGATCCAATTGATTGATCAGGCGGCCGAAGCCCATGGCTTGTCGACCCGGATACTCAATGGTGGCGTCATGCCCGTCGATGTCGTCCTTCCGCGGCGGCATCTTGAATCGTGCTGACTTCTGATACCAACTGATGTAGAGCGTAGTACGAATGAGAATAAGATGAGATACTCTCTCAAGAAGAACACGCACAGAAATTTTAATTCATAATAATCTGCTTTCATTCATCGTAGTTCTCAAATAAATAATAAGAGAAAGAGTCGTATTCTAGTATCTTGCCTAACATATTGCAAGATACTTATTTCAATTACCTAAAATAAAAGGAAATAACATAATAAGCAAATTAATAATAAATGACTTAAACTCGAAGCCTGTCGTATTTATTTAAAAAGGCGATCGCGGTCTCGTCTGCATCATCCTCCCCCGGTTGGGAAGGATTCGCCCTTGAATCCGGACCTGTCTCGTCTCCATCACCCTCGCTTGGTGCCTGAACTTGTAATCTGATGCACATAGGCGAGACTGAAGAAGAGGAAGATGCGCTCCCACATGACAAGAGTGATATTTCGTTGGAAGAGGTTCTTGAAGTTGGCAAATTTCACATTTGAGTCGTCATCATGCACTACTGAGAAGGCCGGGATTAGCTTTACATGCTCCACAAACATGCTTGTATTTTTGGAGGTCAACTATGGAGCCTTGATGCGAAAGACTCTAAACCACTTCTTGGTCATCGTCGGTGTCCATGCTCAATTCCACAAGAACGCAGCCACTCAGAACCACCGTGTCCGCCTTCATGCCACTCTTCCCGAGCTGCCACTTTTGAAAAATACAAAGACCACACGATCACCGCTTCTTTTTAAATCCCAGTTGATTCTGACATTTCGTTAAGCTAATAACATTAAACAAACATGTTAAACAACTTACATTCTCTTTAATGCATTCTTAATTTCTTTTCTTTTATGCTTTGGTTGTCTTTCTCTTTAAAGTAAAAATATAAATTGTTTTTTTAATTTTAATGACTTAATTTAATCAAAAAGGTCATTTAAAACTGAACTACCACGCATTAAATAAACGAAAGCAAATAAAAAAGACGGACTGATGCTGCCTCTGTAGGAGTTAATCAATGACTTCGATTCGGGTTTTCATTAGTTTTTTTTTAGTTGAACCCTGAGATAATCAATGACTTCAATTTGTCGGAAAGGGCTCGCAAGATTTTCTGCCTATTTGATTTTTGGAAAATGGAAGGCGGGATCTTCTGCTTCTTCTGTCCATGAATTTTCCTGTCGGTTCAGGGTTTGTCCAATCGGAGCCGCTCACCGGATGAGCACGGTGGCCGACACCGTGATTTCAGATCCCACAGAACAAAAGATTGCATCTTTAGCATCTCCTTGGTTGATGCTGCCTCCCGTCTTCGAAGGCGCCCCCAACGCCGCCCCAACCATGCGTTACAAGTTCTACAGCCTCTCGGAAGACAGAGTGGTGTCTACAGCCGCGAAAAAGGATTTCATGGGAGACATGATGGATATTGTGGGCTCTTCTCACGGTTGGCTTTCCCTGCTCAACCCCAACACCCTAGACATGTTCCTCTACAACCCCATCTCCGGCTGCTACGTAAAGCTTCCCCCAATTAACAACCTGCTGGTTGCCTCCCGCTACAGCTCGATGTGTGTGGATAAGGTAATCCTATCATGCTCTCCGGATGATGATGAACAAAATTGCCGTGCCATTATGACTTACAATTGCCCCGCTGTGATGGCCTACTGCTGCCCTGGGTCCAGCAAGGAGTGGACCTGTATTGTGGATGGGGAGATAAGCACCAATGTCGGTTGGTACAAGAATTGTGTATATTCCAAAGAACATCAACTCTTGTTTGCCCTCACCAGCTCTTTTGACTTGGTGTCTTGGGACCTTGGGGACCCTCTGTCCCCGAGTCTTGTTGACTACCGGAAAATGGATTTTCCGGAGGAAAAGAAGCTGTGGCGTCCCAAAGACCTGACATGTGAGTCTGTGGAGCATCTGGTGGCTGCTGGGGAGGATCTCCTCTTGGTGACTCAGTATGTGCTGATGAGCGTGCTCCCCGACGGTTTGTATATTGACACGAATAACGACCCCACCGGCTCTATCTACGAACAAGGCTTTCCATATATGACTATTGATTTTGATGTTGAGAGATATGATCCTGCCACTGCGGGCGTTGAGTGCGTGGAGGATTCGTTCCTGGGTGGGTGGGCTCTGTTTGTTGGCTACTACAGCCATGCAGTTGCTTTGCCAGTGGCCCATTACCCGGAGGTTGTCAAGCCCGGATCCATTTACTTCACTGATGTTTTGAGGCCTTGGATTGGATTTGGTGAATATCCATGTGGAGGCCATGACGTTGGCATTTTCAGTTATGAAAGCAAGACGGTGTCTTCGTGCTACTGTCCATGTGATGCTCAGAGCTTGAAAAAGATTTCCCCGGGACCTATGTGGTACTTCCCAAGTCCCGGCTGATTTGACTTCATGGATTTGGATTCTTGTGTTTGCATAGTAGTTTATCTACAGCTAATTTTAGTTTGGTTTTCATTTTGAACTTAATGCTAGCATGGCTCTGGCGTTGTCTGGTACAAAGTCATTGCTTTTCTAGTTCTACCTGGTGTTTCTTTAAAATCAAATATTTATTTTGTGACTTTTGTGGTTGAATATGTGGTTGGAGAATGGCTAGTCAATGGTTAATACTTAATAGAAAGATTGTACTTAAATAATTTCATCAAAGTTTTGCAAGTGTACATGATGTTCACAGTTTGTTTGATGAAGCAAAAGGTGAAAGAAGAAAGTTTATTGTGTCTGAAAAATGAAAATTCCTGTGAAGGATACAAAACTTGAACTATTCGAATTTGTGTAACGGGTCATTGAGTATTATTGTATTATGAACAAGCAGACTAACAACTACTTGACAAACGAAAATCAAAAGCGATATTTATCTTATGAGTAATTTAAGATTGACATAAACAATGTGCATAAGATACTTTATTTTTATTAGTTTTAGTCGATGTGTTACTCATTACTATTTATTTCACTGTGAGGTATTTTGGTTACTCGAGTTGACTAATTATCTTTAAACGTACCAAATGGATATACACGTTGCATTTTCAAGGCAACAAACTTGTCATTTAAACAAAACGTAAAATCAATACACAATTTAGAAACAAAAATTCCTCCTAAAATAAATAGAACGATCAAAATACAAATAAATCAGTCCACCTGAAGCCCCTTCCTCCAGCGCTCTCACTTAGGAGCCGTGTGAGATGAAAGTCTCATGCACGGTTTTGAATGAGAAAAAGAAGTGACTTGAACCCGCTTGGATTACATCTAGACAAATCGAAGCAGGTCGGCGAGCAATGACACGAAATGCTTTTATCCGCTACTGTCTCTGACCGACTGCATTAGCACTTGTTGAATTGGTCTTCGGCAAATCGAATATCTCGTGGCACCAACAAAGGGCAGGTTTAGCTATAGCCCAGTCAAGGAGGCAAAGACAAAGAAAAAAGGGAAAAGCCGAGTACACTGCATCTCCAGTGAACCATCCTATTGAGGTTTCACGAAGTCAACACTGGAAGAGCTAGCATCTCTCTTTCCTAAGGCAAGGTAATCCATCTGTGGACTCAACACTTTGCTCTCGTAACACAAATGCGGTCCTTTTAGTGGCAAGTCCTTTTGAGGACCCTTTCGGGAAAGCGGATCCAATAGTTGAAGCACCGTTAGGCGAGAAGCAATGGTCAAGGTAGCACTGAATGGTACCACGCCGCTACATATTAGGGATGATTTTTGTTTGAGGGATAAGTTTTGCAGGCTAAGACGCATCGGGTGGAATCTCGGGAAGAAGTTTTTAGCAGTCTTCGTCAATTATTTCTAAAGCATGGCACGTAAAGACAATTCATCAAAACCAAAATTCTGTTTACTAGACCACTCCCAATGCAATAGTTGTCACTTTCGTAGCATAGTCCATTTTAGATAGTAATCTTACTATCACTCAATCAATTATTTTCCTAGAACATTTTTACACAATTAGTGGTGCCGTATATATTCACCACGTACCGATAGATAACAAATATTTTGACTTTTTGGTGAACCAAATTTACCTTTATTGTCTTAAGAAAATGACAGTTCGACTTTCTATGTACATTTTGTTTAAACTGGATAAACTCTCTTTTCCGCTCGTATTTCTCTGCGATTTAGGACATCATCGAAGTTCTGTTTCTAATCAACTTTCTAACAAGTAAATTTCATCTTTGAGAACAACCGAACAACAAATTGAAAGAAAACTTTGAATTAACATGAGAATCACGATTTTTTTTTACTAATTAAACGTTTTAAATTTAACCATTCATATTGATATTCACAAAAAAAATTTATTTTAATTCAACGACATCTCGAAACACCAAGAATAACGCATGTCACGATGGGTGGCCCTACGGGCGTTCAACATTCACACGAGCAAGATTTTTCAAGAACCCATTAATTTTCATAAGCCAAAATCAAATTAATGGCGAACAAAATTAATAGTCGATCTCCATTTGACCATATGACAAAAATTTAATGACTCTGATGGAGAGGATGATATTTATCGCATTCAAAGTGTAAGCCATTACCTAACCCTAAGGTCACCGTGTAAAGATTGTAATCTCCGGATGGCGGGGCTGCACGCTCTAACACAACTTCCTACAATCATCTTGATCCTAAGGTCGTCATGAAATCTTGTATGTCCCACATTTGGCGAGGCCCAAATGCTCTAAGCATGATTTCCTTCAATCTTTTTATGGACATTCGTCCAGGTGATCCCATAATTTTTTTTAGTAATGTCACCAGATGGCAGAACCCACACTTCAAATCAATTGCATCATTGGAAAACCAATAATGGAGGTCGTACAATTTTAAAAATTAGCTTCATTTTAAAATTTTCTTCTCACTTAGTATTGAAAATTGAGGACCTTCAATATATGCAATTCCATAATATTTACGTGCATAAATCAAGGGCTCGTTTACTATAGAGGATAGGATTGGATAAGGTTAGTTAACCAACCTTATCATAAGTTTACTAGGAAAAATAGGGATTATGGTTGAGCTGATGTGGGGATTGTGTGGCAGGTGGGTCCATACAATTTAATTGAGCTGGACGGACAGTTTTGTCAGGGCAAATTGGCCTGATACTTTATCCTAACTTTGCAATTCTAATTTTGTCCATTCTTCTTCTTCCCCATTCTTCCCATAAGAACATCTTCACCTTCCTCTATTTTTTTTTTTTAAAATTGCAAATTCAAAATTATGGATATAACTGTATATAATCAAATCTGATTTGTTCTTTTCTTCTTCTTCCCCATTCTTCCCGTACGAACATCTTCTCCTTCCTCTCTTTTTTTTTTCATTTTCAAATTCGAGTGGGTATTAACATACTGATAAATTCCCAGGCGTCAATTGCTTCGTCTTGGTCGAACAGTTCAACCGTGGTTACCCTCCGCACCGATTTCATTGTTTAAGGTTGGGTAAGATTAAATTCATCGACATTTTTTTGTAATTTTTTTTTTTTTGATTTTGTTTGTGCGATTTTTTTTTTCATATATCATCTTTCATTCATCTCCTCCGGCCCGATTTCACGGCTCAAAGGTGTGATTCGTTAGGCCCGACGAGTTTAGGGAAAGAAAGGGGGAAGGGTGCTCATTGAAGACATCATCATATTTTTTGTGGAAAGAGGCGGGTAAAACTGACATTCAATGATTTATCATATTATGCAAAATAGGTTAGTAAACATAGGATGAGATTAAAAAAATTAGCATATAAAATGACAAATGCTGACTTAATGGACAAATAGTCTTATCCCATCGTATCCCTGTCAACCCTAGTAAACGAGGCCCAAATAATTAATTAATCATGCATATCTAGCAATGAATTGGAAGCACTAGAAACAATGTAATGAATTTCACTATTATGGTCATTAATCAAATCTCCAACTGAATTAAGAAATAAAATAATTCATGTTCCTAGACCAGCAAACTTCTTGTCCAAGTAAGTCAGTCATCGGATTGCCGCTGGCCGCTTCCATCTGTCGTCACCACCGTGGTTTCGCTGGCAGGTCACCGTTGTCGGGAAGCATCTCGTATGCCTATTGTCGTGCCAAGATGTCTCAGGGGTGGCCCAGTCGTGCATTATGCCTGGGGTCGTTGGGACGTGCGAGCCACTCCCGCAGCTATGTCGCGTTGAGAAGTCGAAAGGTTGTTGGGTCACGTCTAGTGTCAGTGTCTTGCGCGCCAGCGCCTGCGTGTTGTTGTGTCGTTCGCGAGTTCTCACTATACGAAGCCATGGCTGGCTTGCGCGTGTGCACGATGAGGCCTGGGCACGAACTCGCCCGCGTTTCTCAGGTCTATCTTGCACTAGCACTTGCGACAAAGTTGTGCGCTACATGTAGCACACGCACGCGGTGCTCGCGTACCCATTGTCAAGGGCCTTCAACCATCGCCTGTGTCTTAGTGTTATCCTCACCTGACCCGCTAACTGTCTGCTACTGGGCAACCGTGACATCAAGTTGTCTACAGCCCTTGCGCGGCTGCATCCGATGAGACATTTTTTCGGTCGTCATTTGACCGACCGTCGAGGTTGTCGGTCGCCATGGTCATCCAGGTTCGTCTGTAGTTAACATAATAAAAAAAGGTACAACTATTACATAATTGATACTACACCCATAGATGGGTTTACATACTCATTTTTTAAAATAATAAATCTATACGGTGACCCACCATGCAAATAAATTTATTACAAGCATTCACAACTAAAGTATTGCTATCTTGTGCCTTGGCTAGGTCTGGGTTCACTCCCTCTCCAGCTACATTCTTCTCGACAGGTTCAGACTGAATGTAGTGAGAAAAAACATATAAAAACAATACATTATTATTACACTAAAGACTGATTGAATATATTACAAATAATAAAAATTGAAGTGATTAAAACTACATTATTGTGCGGTGCTGGAATAGCATTCTTTGATGGTGGTGTCGGTGGTAGACCAACAATTATAGCATCAAAAGACGGCTGAGATCCCTTCACTGCATAACCAAAGACGAGGTGTGGCTCATATCTGAAACCTCTTTGCATATATGTATATCATATAACCAAATGATTATTAATTAAAATTTATATAAATCTCACAAGTTTAATATTATGTATATATATAGCTAGCATATACTTGATTACAACAGGTGTAGTTACCGGTTCTTTTCCCTTTGATGCTTCATTTAACTTTTGTTGTGCAATCCTATCAATCTCCTCTAAGAATTGTGTATTGATCAAGGGGAATGCGTCATCGTCGTTGACAACACTGCTTAGAGCATGGATATCGGGCTTGGCAAATTTTGAATTAGTACAAACTAACAAAAAAAAAAAAAATCATAATAATAAAAATAAAATGTGGGGACATATAATGACACATGAAGTTGCTTACTTTGTTAGTTTCTCGAGAATCT